TGTTAGAATGCCTATTTAGTAAGTCCCAGATGTGCTGGCTGATATTCAAAAGGGAGTTACCATTCAGTGTTTGATAAACAATGTGGGTATGTAATATTTCATTCCCTCAACTTGAGTTGTTTTGCTTTACCAGTCTGTTTTAGTAATCAACCCTTGAGACTTTATGGACAACCTGTCTAAGGCATACCTCTTTTAGGTAAAGAGTATTTATCTTATCACTATATGATAGGTAATGGCCCATAAGTGCTTAGACATAAAGTTCTATTGTCGATTTTTACCTGGTTTTGTTTATGTCTTGTTTTAATTTCATCTATACTATTAGTTCCAGGAAGTTCCTGGTCCTTTGCATCCTGTTTTATATTGTAATAGGCATGAACATAACTTAAGAGTTTTCATTATAACAGCAGAATGGCTAGAACCATGGAAATCTTAAAAAAATCATGTTGACTCCTCTTTTCCCAATACTGTATATCACAGTGGATTACATAGTACTATCTATAAAATAACATGAAACAGAGATTTAACTTCTCTTAGTAAATTTTTCTTTCACAAAGGTTGTTTCTTGGATATTGTGACATGTTCTAAGCTTTCTTCTTTGTTTGCTGTTGTGTATGGATTGCCATTATTGAAAGGAATTTGTGGTAATTTTCTTAGTGTATGATTTACAGCTAGTATCTCCTTATTTTGTTGAAATCTTTCAGTTAGCCAGCCATTAACATCGATTACTATATATTAACATGCAACATCTGAATTCTCTGTTTGGCATTTGATCTTTTTATAAACCACTCAAATTGCACTTTATTGTGATGCTTGGATTTAGGCTCATATCCAGCAGAAAATTTATTTCAGAGTCCCTAAATGCCCTGCTACTTTTATAAACCCAAGCGGTGTTATTACCTCATTGAACTGCATGAATCAACTTAATCAGCCAAAAACTCTGAGCAGCATGTGGCCCACAGATAAGTAAAAATGGGTTTCCTTGCCTTTAGCATTCTTGTGATCAATGAAGGTGACAAGCCATGAATAAAAGGAATCAAAGAAAGAATTGACAGAGGGCAAAACATGTTAAGACTGATCAAAGGGAGTTGGAAACAAAGGCTAGGAGTTACAGAGAACAGAGCCATCTGGAGAACAGTTGAGAGTGAGAGTAAAAGTGGAATGCCAAGGTTGATGATAGATACAACTAAACCTTAAGGGATGGGTACGTGCATATTGTCACTTTGAGGAGATGGAATATGAGGAGGTTGATCCTTAGAGGTGGAGGGTTGGAAGTCTGTGCAAAAAGGCACAGACACAGAAATCAAATGGAATTGTGAAAAAATATGGTTAGACCATGTGTCTTAGGTGACACACGGAAGTCTACAACAGAGTGCTAGCTGTAAGAATTGAAAGGAATGGCAGAGAGAAGATACACAGAAACTAAAGAGCAGATAAATAAGTTAAGCCTGAAATTGGTTTTGTCAAGGAAATTATGAATTCAATTTTTGAAACGCCAAATTTGAGATGAAAATGGAATATCTTTTAGTTATTTTAGATAAAGGATCAGAATCCAGGAAGATTAAAAACAAGGGACAAAGATCTTGGAGTTGAGCTTTGAGGTTTCTATGAAATTTTGAGAGAAAAGCTCAGTTAATAATTATCAGTGAAGTTTCTTAGAATGCCAAATCCTTTCACAAATGTTTGCATTGCGGAAAATGTCTTTTCCCTCACCAAAGGCTAAATTCCAAAATACCTCTCCCCCATTCCAGCTGCCCGGGAGATACATGCCATAGTTCATAAATTCAAAACCATCACTGAAGAATTAGCTCCAAGTACCCATCCTACTGCCATTATACTAGCAGCAGGGTTTTTTATGAATTTCCATATGAAATAACACATTTCCATTTGGCAGGGACATATTTTCTTTTTAAAAGCACTTATCTCAGTATCACATACTATTTATGCCCTTTCTGTGTTCTTCCCTTGATTATTAAGAATTAATTTCCACAAGTACTTCATTGTTTACTCATGATACATGTATCAGGACAAGTATTTCAATCTCTTATTTTATTTCTTGATAAACACCCTATTATTATATATTTATTCAGTCATTGGAATAAGAAGTAAAGGCGCTTTTGAAAGAGTAAAAAACAAGTAAATATATAATGGTATATATCTCATTTAGCTTTAGAACTTGTGAAATCTAAATTTATGCTCTGAGGAACTCTGGTTATTCGATATTCACTTGTCTTATAAGCTATGATATCTATTCATATTATTAGGATTAAGTATCAGTCATACAGGATATATTCCAGAATTTTGTAAAAGCTTCATCTTGCTCAAGAATACTAAATCAAATTAAAACTATTTTATAGCCTTTTGAAGACTAGGGAGGCCCTTATCTGACCATCACCTTTAAGGTTGATAGCCTCTTTTCTGGTCTTGAGGATGCTAGGGTGACTAGATACTTGCTAGACTCTTAGAATAATGGATTCAATATGGATGCAAATCCTTTCCCATTCCTAACATAGAGAAGCGGACTCATTTATCTCTTCCTCTGAAACTGGGCTGGCCTCGGGACCTGACTGAACCAACCTAATGTGGTGAGGTGAACTTGTGTAACTGCTGAGGCTTCACCTGAAAATCTTGGCAGTGTCCACCTTTACCACTTGACATGTCCTCAGAAGCCAGCCCCATGCCAGGTGTCTCACTACTTTGACACCACCATTCTGTGGAGAGGCCATCTACATGACCCTGCCCAAGTCACTGAGCATGCTAATTTTAAAATGGGGAGAATAATATCTTCTGTACTTTCTTGATATTCTGAAGATTAATTAATTAGTCAAAATAAGAGTGTATTAGTATATATTTATTTTTGGTATATATTTCTGAGCACATGTAGTTTTATGAATATGTATTTAAAAGAAAAACTTACTCTGCAAATACAGCCAGATTCTTTTAGTATTTAAAAAAAGGCACCCCATTTATTTTTACCAAACATTTTCATATTGGATAATAATGAAATGCTCAATGAGGAAAAAACGTTAAGTATATCACCAAAAAAAAAAAAAAATGGTGACTACATGTTTTGTATTGCATTGCATGTGTGTACATGTCTGTGAATATGCCTCACGTATTATGTAAAAATCTGTACAGACTTTAAAGATCTTTATAAAATGCTATATGATTCTCTCTTAAAACTTTACCTCTTTCTTATATCTCCTTTTTGCATCCCTCCATATTTCAAAATACCTGGGTGAGCACAACTATATTCTAGACCATTCTACTGGCATCCTTGTCACTTCAGTTTTATAAATATATGCGTTATTCTTTCTCAGGAATCTCATTAGTCTGAATATAGATCTGTTTCTCAGGTTACTAGCTCAAAGAGTAATGTTCTTTAATTGAAAACAGTCAAGTGTTATAATTGAAGCACAAATAAAAATGATTAGCCACCACCTACAGTTCATTACCTCAGTACTGTGTCCTAATAATAGCTTTTTACATCAGTAAATCCACATAGGAATCTTCAGCATCTTGGAAGCAGAGGTTAGGATGTTGTTTTTGAGCACAGCACAATCCTGACTCAGCACGTCAGTGCCCTGCACACCCTCAACTGTCCTCTAAGTGGAGAAGAGGTGCGGTCCTGGGAAGGTAGCCTATGAGGATACAGGAGGCCTGGACGTCAGTCCTCACAATTAGTGACTTTTCTGGCTCTGTTTACTCAGTCGTACAATGGAGGATATCATTACCATCGCAAAGATTTATAATTACAAAATATGAAACACTGCCTATGAACAAGTAGGAACAAGTAGGGCCAGATAGGATACTCTAAGGTGTGGCAGTGACATTTGTAGCATAGATCACATTCTGACAGAACATCACGTTGCTTGGAATGATGCTCCCTGGGTTGGGATCACCATTGATTATCTTATTTCTCCTTCTGCTCATATTCTGAGCAATTTCCACTATCAGAGAGTAATGATATGACCTGAATCGACAAATTATGCAGATAAAGAATAGAACTTTAGGGCGCCTGGGTGGCTCAGTCGGTTAAGCATCTGCCTTCGGCTCAGGTCATGATCCCAGAGGCCTGGGATCAAATCCTGCGTCGGGCTCCCTGCTCTGCGGGGAGTCTGCTTCTCCCTCTGCCCTTCATCCCACTTGTTCTCTCAATCTCAACCTCTCTCTCTCTCAAATAAATAAATAAAATCTTAAAAAAAAAAGAATAGAACTTTAGGGGAAAAATAGGCCCTGGAGGATATTTGCCTCTTGGATAAGACCCTAGAAGTTTCCAACTTAAAATTTACGTTTTTTTATTCCCAATATACACTGGAGTTATTTTCTTGTGTCAGTCTGTGACCTTGAGAATCCATGGATTTAAAGGATTTTAGTAATATACTATGTGATCTAGAATGATAGAAATTTTCACAGCTACATTTACAAAGGTAGTTTATCTTGGCCAAGACTGCTGGCATATGTGGCATGGATTCTGTATTTACCTTATTTGTAAATACCAGAAACCAACATGAGTTTAATAGAAGAAGAACTTTATTTTGAGGATTTAAAGAAGCAAAAGGGACAAAATATATTCGGGACTCAGAAAGTGACAAGAGTAGGAAATAGAAATGCATTAGGAATTCAAGATATTCTCACTTGTGTTTCTTTTTGTTTACTTTATTACTGTGTTTTTTTTATAATCTGGTTTTGGGGCTTTTTGTTTTTGTTGTTTGACAGCAACTTTGTCAAAGTACTGGCTTTTAAATCTCCCCCTTTTTTTTAAGAGACGATTATATATTAAAATATAACCCCTTTTTTTTCTGATTTAGGTTTTATTTTATCATCATAAACTGAACTCTACAATCCAGCTAGACCTGGGGATAAGGAACCATGGAGCCCGCAGAACTGCAGCAAGAGCACAGAGATTCTGGGGTATTTCGAGCAGGTGAGGGTGAAGGGGTGCTCTCCCAAGCTACAGAAGGAATGGTCTGGTAATTAAGATAAAACACAAGTCAGATTTATTAGATCTGTCCACAGTCAGCAATGGTGATCTTCTTGCTGGTCTTGCCGTTCCTGGACCCAGAGCGCTCCATGGCCTCCAGGATGTTCATGCCTTCTTTGACCTTGCCGAATACCACATGCTTGCCATCCAACCACTAGGTCTTGGCAGTGCAGATGAAGAACTGGGAACCGTTCGTGTTGTCCAGCGTTGGCCATGGACAGGAGGCCAGGACCCGTGTGCTTCAGGATGAAATTCTCATCATCAAACTTCTCCCCATAGATGGACTTGCCTCCAGTGCTGTTATGGCGTGTGAAGTCCCCCCCACCTCCGGCACATAAATCCCGGAATAATCCTGTGAAAGCAGGACTCTTTATAACCAAATCCTTTCTCCCCAGTGCTCAGGGCACCAAAGTTCCCTTAAAAACCAGTCACCTAATACCAATTTCAAATTCTGAGAAGTGGATTCTAATTGTCTTGGGTTAGGTCATCATTTCTTGTGTAGGCATTTGTGGCTTTGGGGATGGGACCCATTGTACTGACACTACCATTGAAGGTCTAACTCTGTGAATTGGTGGGTAGAGACTTAGATTTGATACAAAAAAGAATGGGATTATTGGCTTGGACTGAACAGTCAACCTAAAGGTAGTCTGCAGGTCATTATTAGTGGAACCCTAGAAAATTATGTTGATTTGTTCTGTATCAGGATCTCTTTTAGACTATCATTATTCTAATATTATTTCTGATACCTTCTTCCTTTATCATTAAGGTTTCACTCAGAGAGAAGTGACCTATTTGATTTCTAGCTGAGAAAGCATGTAATTAAATAATACCCTTGGGCTCATTCTATTTTCCTGCCTTATCATGAAATAAGAACAAAAGGTCTCCTGAAGGAGAATTAAAGAAAATGCTGATACATAGCAAATGATCATTTAGTTTTGCCTCCAAAGGCAATCCTCTTTCTACAAAATAAGTTAATATACTGATTTAGAGAACTTTGCAGGGGGAAAAAAAAACTACATAAGCATTATAAATGCTGTCATGTAAGTATTATTTTTCATTGTTTCAAAACAAAGAGAAGAGTAGGTGATTTTCCATTGTTTCTGCTTCATTATCATCAGCAGCAGTGACATCAGGAGCAGCATCTATGACTTTACTAAAAATGACACAAACTAAACATGTGCTACATTCTTCAGATTATTTCCGAATTTAGGACTTTCTAAAAGAGACTTATTTTAAGCTTCTATTAAAGATATACAATTATTAAAACAGAAAACTTGTGAAAGAAAATAAAAGATTCAAATGTAAGGCAGAAATCTGAAGGTTATGACATTCATACTATACACCAAATACAAACTATTTTAAATTTTTGAATTTCATTCTTTCTCATATTCCCTTACCTTTTATATGTACTTGAAGGAGATGAGCAAAATTGAAGAGAATATTAGTAGTGAATTAACACAAAAATATTGCTTATAAGGACTTGAGTTATAAAAAGGAGATTAAACAAAAAACAGACATAAAATTAAAAGGTACCTTAAGGAAAGACTCAGAAGGAACTCATCAATAAGCATAACAAGTTTTATTTGTACAAAGTATCATACACATGGATATTGTGAAAGACATAATCGGTTAGTTTTAATTTCTAAGCACATTGAGATATTCAAGGCAATGAAAAACTAAAGTTAAAAAAAAAAAACCCAAACAAACAAGAGTATATACTTGGAGATACTTGGAAAGTTAAAAGCATTAGAATTAGGTTGAAATTGAGGGTAATGCTGATTGTACTGATCACCCTATAAAATAAATAGACTATTGGTTAATTAATCTCAAGAAATGGTTTAATTTACATATATAAGATAACTACTTATAAATGACATGCTCAGTGAAGTCATGAAACAGATAACTTCCAATTTTAAACAAATTATTTTAAAAATCTTTTTTTTTAAGATTTATTTATTTATTTTAGAGAGAGAAAGAGAGCGTGTATGCATGCATGTGTGAGTGGGGGGAGAGGTGGAAGGAAAGAATCTCATGCAGACTCCCTGCTAAGTGTGGAGTCCCCAGGGGTGGGGGGTGGGGGGCGCTTCATCTCACCACCCAAGAGATCATGACCTGAACCAAAACTAAAAGTCAGATGCTTAACCAACTGAGCCACCCAGGTGCCCTAAAAAATCTGTTTTATAAATCAATAGTATCTTTCAATTTAGTTTTTATTAAGATATTATAACTACCATGATATCACAAAATAAATTATTAAAAAGATAACATATTAGCTTAATATTCAGCCAATATTTACTGAATACCTAATGCTTACAAATCAAGTTATAAATCCTGGAAAGCAACCAAAGATATAAGAAGCATACAACATGTATGAATAACTATAGAGTATTAAAATAGTAAAAGTATGCGGTACACAAGGTGTTGTGATTGGTTAAGAGAGCCTATTTGGCTTTCTCCTACTGGTCATAAGTTGGAAGTGGACCCAAGTATGAGGTAAGGTATCAATTATTGATTTAGGACTGACTGGGATCGATTGCTATACAGTGTGTGGTCTGGGTTCTTAGGTTGGTCAGGCAGATTGTGGGTCAGTTGTATTTTTATATATGCTCTGGCATTGTTCGTTTGTATATTCATTCTCTCATTACTAAGGCAATGACATCCTGCCATTATAAAGGTGTTCAGGAAGACTTCTTATAGCTTCTTTTATATCATCATTCTCATATATTGTATCATCTCGCATTAACCCTATTTTCTCAAACCTGCAGCATATTTGAAAAAATGGTAGTTATAATAAATGTTCAAAATGACTAACTTTAATATTATAGTTATTTGTTGTTTAAATGTCTATTTTCAGAGACATATATCTGTTTTATGGGGATTTTTAAATTTAAATAAAAAATTTATTTAAAAATATATGTAATAGATTTGGAATTGAATATGTTCAGGTCACTAGGACTTTTAAGAGTCACAAAACATGGTAGAGAAAATTGATAGAATCATGAAATGGTTTGCATTCTTTGACCAAAGAAGTGAGAAGAGTCAATGAGAGAGTAGACATTTAATTAGAAGACTAGAGCTAAGGTCCATGTTGGACATACCATGTACCCTGAGCTGCCTTCCTCCTCACCCTTATGGTAATAAAAGGTAAAGAGTAACTAGACTATAGAGTTGGGACCTCTGTGCATTTCTGCAATTCTGAAACTCTAGAGAAGATTTTGGGAAAGTTAGGATAAAGATAAATTGGTAAGGCCATAAGGAAACTGATGAGTTAAGAATGCAGGAATTACCTTGAGTTTTTCTATTCATGAGTGTTTCTGAATTTTGAGAATGTACTCTTTCACATATTCTGGTTAAGTTAATGTAGGTATGATTGCATATATATCTTGTCTTTCTTGTTTTATTTATTGGCCACTGTACCTAAAAAAAAAGAAATCCCTTGAGAAATTGATGAGGCTCATTCTCCTTATTTACTATGTAAGTTGCTCAGGGCCCTGGAACATTTAATTAGGCAATTACTTAGATTGCCCTCTCTATCCTTACTATCATGAAGGTTTCAGTACAAACAGGCCATGGTAATAGAACAGAGTCAATATTTACCGTCAACTGTCTGTTACATCTACATAGTAGTGAGTACTCCTATGATAATTTAGCATTGAATATTCTACAGGAATTATGTACTTGTAAGTGGAAACCCGACTATCATTATACATGACACCTGACCCCTGCCCTCTGCTAGGTGATTATTGTGGAAAACTAGACATGTGCACACTTAACACTCATCAAAGATTAAAAGTATGTAATGTCTAGGGGTGCCAAAAAGTCATAGAAGTTTTCGCAGCAGACAGCACATGTTTCACTGGAAGTAGAAGAATTCATGGATCGATGCTAGCTCTGTGGAGGGGTTAAGATTGAAATGGAAATTAAGTATAGAATTAATTTACATTTGGGAAAATGTTGGAAAATTTTGGGGGCTGGGGAGGGCTTGTTTTTTTTTTAGAAGGAATCCACATGATCGAAACATAAAAGCTAGAAACTTTTTTGGCAGGAATTTAGATTTTCCTGGGGTATAATGATAATACACCTGAAGACAGACACAAGATTAAAACATGAATGTTCAGAACTCCTGAAGTGACCTGAGCTTTATAATACTTCTTTGTGTATGAGATTTCAATAATGGCCATCTCTACGTGTCTAAGCTTTAACTTGGCTGACCAGCAAGTAAGTACACAGAAAACCATACCACGGGTAAGACAGCTTGCCTGTTCCAAGGAACACATATTGTACTGATTAAATCTAGACTTCTGCTAAAACAAAACTATTGGAAGCGAGTATTTTCTACTTTAGATTTAAAATGAGATGAATAAATTTTATTTTCTATAGTGTAATTTTATAACTTTGATTAATACTGCTTTAAAATGCTGTATTGTTTCCTAATGTAACTGGCAAAAATACAAAAAGGTTCAAATCCTTCATGACCAGACTCTAGGTACTGTCTCATCCCTAAAAAGACAAACAGTGGAAGATACTTCCTGTTGTCGTGAAATAGTCGTTTTCGGAAATCTTGTAGTCAAGGTAAAGTTGTCTAGAATTAACTTGTTACGTTTTCATTATGGACAAGGCACTTTAATAACCATCATTATGGAAGCAAAATAGAATTACAAATAATGATTGTTTTGGAAATTGCAATTAAGCAGAAACAGCTAATGGGCAGCTTCTATTCAACCTGCAGTTGGTATTTCTCATTTTCTGACAAAATGTTACTGCAAAGAGAATGAAAAGCAAACATTGCGTTTTTACAATTTTATATTTTAAATAGAATAGATGTACCTAAGGTAAGAAGATTACTGAATTTGGTCTGAAGTGTTTTACAAGGGACAAGAATTTTTGAAACTTGGGCATGTAAGGCTGTCTAGATTATTAGATTATTCTTGCTTAACATTTCATGTTAAAACTACAGTTAGTTGACAAAAATGACATTAATGTTTTGACTGAAAATACCAGTGTCTTGTCTTTCATGAGCTCTGAATGGCTTAGCCTCCCTTCGTCGGTCTTTTATATTATATCCTGCCAACTCTCTGTAGTTAACACATTATGGCTGATATTTCTGTCTGGAAAATACTGACTCTTGGCTTATCTTGCAGGAGAACGTCATTTGCCAGTAGTCATGCCTCAGGGTGGAGAGAGTACAGCTGAGGGTGTCCGCGGTCCAGGGGATGAAATCTCAGTGGTCCACAGAGAAACCTTGGATAGCTTTATGGACAAGGTCAACCCACCACAGGCTTTCTTCCCCTCTAGCTCTCTCTAATCAGGCCTTCTAACCCCCATGATTCTTTCTCCTAACATCTGCTCTGGAACTTCTGAGGTAAAAATGAGCTTATTTCATAAATGTTCTTTTGTCTTTTAATCTAAGAATATAGGGAAACTTGCTTTGTTCATACCCAATCAATTCTTCTCCTTTTGCTTTTGTATTTAGTCTGTCAAATTATACTTTGAAACTTGATTATACCCATATTAAAATCCATGTAATATTTTTAGAGACAATGAAGACCCATATATTTTTCCAAATCTGTATGCTTTCATTTTATTGTGGTATAATATACATAACACAAAATTTACCATTTTGGCCATTTTTAAGCATAGTCCACAATATTTTTAAAGAATATCTGTGATGAGAGTTCAAGGGAGGTTGAATTATCTTATAATTCCCTATATCACATAGGTCACAGGTATCAAATGAAGAATCTTCAGCAAGTGGTTCAGTTTTTCAGTAGTTCCCCCCCCACTCTGTATACTTTTTTCTTACCATTATCAAAATCTTAAGGCATGTATAGTAGGTGTGAATATTCCACAGTCACCAAGTACTCCTTCCTTCTCATATTAGCTTATAGTTGTGAGGTCCTTTAAAGATGGGAATATAGGGTTTCTTTGATTCTGCTTTAGCGGCTGCCTGCTAAACTCCATCTGTGACAGTTGTGTCTTTTCACAAGGGAATGGAGAATGATTTGCTTCAAATTTTGACAACACTCTACCTTCTGGTATCCATGGGAAATTTTGGTAATGCCATAAGATTACTTAGGCAGAATAAAATGATTAACTATCCTTAGGTTCGGACTTCTTGCATGTTTAATTCTGACATTTACTAGCTGCGTGACATCTGACTTTTTTCTCTGTCTCCATTTACTCATCCACCAAATGAGCAGAATTGTGGTTAATCTCACTTACAAAGAAAATCGTTCATCTCTATCAGTCCCCTACTCCTCCTACCAATCATGCCACATTTCTCTGGCTCATTCAGGTTTCTAGACTCTTCTAGATGACTAGTTCTCTTTTTATTTCTCTTATCAAACATCCAACACCTTGTCCCTCATCCACATTCTCAACTGCTGACCTTCTTCCTATTTTGCTAAGAAAAAAAAGAAGAAAATTTCAGCAAGCTCCCATCGTCACATATACCCCCACTCACCTGTATTTTTGCTCTTGTACTTTGCCTTTTCTCCTCTAAATATTTATGAGCTCTCTGCTCTTAACAGAGGCCACCTGCTTCATTGGTACATCAGATCCATCCCCTCTTCTCTACTCAAGGCTTTCACACCAGATTTCTCCCTTCTTTTTGGTGTAATCATGCATTTATTTCCTCCCCATCACAAATACACAGGCTGTATTTTTTCCACTTTAATAAAATCTTCCCCTGAGCCATTGTCTCTTTCCAGCTACTACCCTGTTCCTTCCCTTCCCTCCCCTCCCCTCCCTGCCCCTCCCCCCTGGCCTGGCCCTCCACCAAAATTGTTTCGTCAATGTCACCAGTAACTTTTGCTCTTCTAAATCCCTTGGTCAGTTTCTTCTTAAAATATGAGTGCTGTGATTTGTGTAAGACTGTTGAATCACAGACCTGTACCTCTGAAACAAATAATACATTATATGCTAAAAAAAAAAAAAAGAAGATAGTAGGAAGGGTAAAATGAAGGGGGGGAAATCAGAGGGAGGGGGAGACGAACCATGAGAGACTATGGACTCTGAGAAACAAACTGAGGGTTCCAGAGGGGAGGGGGTGGGGGGATGGGTTAGCCTGGTGATGGGTATTAAAGAGGGCACATACTGAATGGAGCACTGAGTGTTGTACACAAGCAATGAATCATGGAACACCACATCAAAACTAATGATGTATGGTGATTAACATAACATAATAAAATTTTAAAAAAATATATTCACTAGAATTCTTAATTCAGCCTTTTCTAGTTTTTTCTCCTACTCCCCTGGCTACCTTTGGTGACTGTTTTGCTGATTCTGCTTTATCTTCCTATGCCAACCCATGGACTTCCTCCCTTTTCCATATATAAACAATCTCTTTTGTTCTCACCCAGTCTCATGGTTCACTGAGTATCATCTGTTTACAAACAACTCCCAGATTTACGTCTTTTCAGCCTTGATCTCCCCCTGAAATCCAGGCTTATGTCTGCAGCTGCTTACTTGATATTACACTTGGCTGTTTAATTGGCACCTCATACATAATACTTCAAAAGATAAACTTCTTAGAGTCTCAGGGCAGTCTTTCCCATCTCAGCAAATTTTAACTTCTTCCTTCCAGGTGCTCAGGCTAAACTTTGCAACTCCCCTCCTTCCCTCACATCTGATATTCAAACCCGCAGCAAAATCCTATTGACTCTGCCTTTCATCCAGTGGGAGACTGCTTCTCACCATCCTCTGCATCCCCACAGTCGTAAAGCCACTGGTCCAAACCATCGTCAGCCCTGAAATGAGT